AGGTTCCCCCAGGAACAAATGGTGGTATATCTCCGTTAGGTTTATTCGCTTCGGTTTTGGGTGGTTTTGTTATTGGCATATCTGCAATGATATCCATTTATTTTGCGGACGGATGTAATCGATTATATATTGAATTGATTCCGGTGGCTTCAATAGCAGGATTAATTGGATCGATTATAGATTCAATATTGGGTGCTACTGTCCAAGTTTCTATGTATTCTGAAAAAGCGTGTAAGGTTACTTATAGCAGGACTGAAGAAACAAAGTTAGTGAGTGGATACGATTTATTGGATAATAATCAGGTAGAGGTTTTTGCTTTTTTTTTTTTTTTGAACTTCCTTCAATAACCGAGTAATTCTAATTAATAATAGGTTAATTTTGTGTCTTCTTTGGTAACTGCCTTATTAACTGGATTTATCGTCGACTATATTATCAGATGAATTTATTTTATTTTTTATTTTTATGCGTGTTAATTGATTCAAAAACATGATTTGGACCACTTGACACATCTTTACTGTCACAAGACATTTGGCTTTTACTTCACCTAATATAGGATTTATCAATTGATTCTGATAAAGTTTAAATATTGACTATTTAAAATAATACATATAAAGTGTTTGAGTAAACAAAATTTTTGAAAAAGCCTAATAATATTTAACAGTTTGAAATTGCTACGTATTAGTGCAAAATATGGTATTTTTTTACTAATTAAATATAAATCTTTAAACTGTTTATTTTAAATCTAATACATATTTGTTTTTTTTTTTTTTTTTTGCAATATAGATCTATAGTAGCATAATATGTTGGATTTTTTGTAAGTTTTTTAAACATTTTTGTATATAATAATATTTAAAGATTATTTAAAAATAAAATAAAATAAAAAAATAAAAATAAAATAAAAAAATAAAAAATAAATAAAAAATAAATAAAAAAATATATATAAGCAAAAAAGTAAAAAAATTACAGTTAATGATATAGAAAAGTAACAAAGTAGACATGAAAATACTCTTGTATTATACAAGCAAACTTGCTGTTAATGAAACACATATATATAAAATACTGAGAAGCAGATATATAAAGTGGATTTGTATCTTGAGTCAAGTTTTTTCTATGAATTGTTATTAACAAAATTTTTAAACATGATATACTGAGATGCAAATATTGTATATAGTTTGTACAAAGATTAAGCTTTTTTTTGCTTTGTTTAATGGACTTTCTTGTGTATTCAGTATCTAAATCAGAGAAATTTCTAAGAGCAGCAAGAAAAAAAAATAATATTTTATAGAATAGGTAGACAATATAAGAAATAAGCTTTGCTAATGATTAGTAATTATAATTTTTAATAGCAAAGTTGCAGAATTTGTGGAGTTTGCCCACCTATTCTATAGAACATCCAAAAAAAAGTAGATTCTTTCATATTTTCGATATTCAAACCAAAAAGATATTTTGAAAACAATATCACTGCAGGCAAAAATATTTAGTAAAAACTAAGAGACTAGATGATACAACTATAAAATCTATAAAAAGAACTTTATATATTTTTATTAGTTTCTTATTTTTTTTAAGAAAATTTTTGCAAAAAGTAGGCATTTCAGTTTATCTTTTTCAAAAATCAATATCACATATACTAAAATAGTTAGTATTATTTACTTTTTAAATTAGTATAATAGAATAACAAATATGTCAAAGTATATATCTCGAATATAATAATCTAATCAAACAATATTCTGAAATTAGGATCAAATACTAATTTCCCTATACATTTTTAGTTGATAAAATTTTTTTACTAGTTTTTAACTTTATATACTATTTAGATAAATACAAAATAGATAAGCGCAGAGAGTTTAAATAGGTAACCCCCTAGTCGGGTTGCAGGTATGACATCTAGTGTAGAACTTAGTAATAAGCGGACTACTTAAATAGGCAACCAAAAGTTGTATGTGTGACTAGTATGTACTCTCCAAATATATATACGAGATGTTATAAACGCATATTGTAAAGTTAACTATAACCAAATAAAAGGAGCCGGCCAAGAGGCCACCTTAACACCAAAAAATAAATAAATAAATAAATACAAAATAGAGATTATTTTGTTTAATAGTATATAATTTTTACAAATCTTTCAAAAAACTTATAAATGTGATATTAGAATAAACAATTTTTTTTTTCTCTTGATATTCTTTTACCTTTTTTTTTCTTGCTTATATATTTATTATTATTTTCTATACCTCTATATTATTTTTTTCTTTTATTTATGTCTTTTTGATTTAGCTTCTTAGTGAAGTAATGTAGCTACTGTAGCTAATAATTAGAGTATTTAAATTTTCAAAAAGTTGAGGATCTAATATAAAATATAATTACTATTAAGTAGTGATATTCTATAAAATAGATAGGCAAACTCTGTAAACTTTACAACTTCACTATTAAAAATTAATAATTACTAATTATTAATAAAGCTTATTTTTTATATTGGTTATCTATTATATAGAATATCTTTAAATAGTATCATATCTGAGTCTTAAAGTCAAGTGAGTCTTTATAAATAAAAATATAGTATAAAAAATTTTATATACCTATTAGCAATAATTTTTTGATATTTTTAATAAAATAATGAAAACAGGATTACTGAAAAAAAATTAAATATAAAAAAATAAAAAAATAAATAAATAAAAATTTATATTTTAAAGTTAGATATTTTTAGATATCTCTAACCAAAAATATATAAGTTATATAACTCTAGCTTTTTAGCTAATTAAATTGCAAAAAAGTTATATGATTACTATTTGATGATCATATAATCATATTAAATAGATTAATTATTTTTAGATAATCTAGAATAGTGATTAAATCCAAATACTTAAACAGATATTAGATAAATATTGATTTTAAAAAATATTTATTTTTACTTTTCAACTATTAGTTGCTTAAATTAAAGATTATTGATACCTTTAGTTTACTAATCTGATTTATTAACAACTAGAAGATAATAATATTATATTGCATAAAAAGTAATAAGCTTATTTTTAAATTTATTTTTGTTATTCAAAATATTAATACCAAAATATAAAACTAAAATAAAATAAAACAAAACTAAAATAAAATAAAATAAAATAAATAAAATAAAATTTATATCAAAAAACTATAATTATTAAGGTTTTTTTTATATAACAATATTTAATTAGTGATTCGCTAGTTAGCCAGTGAGAGATCATAATATAATATGACATGGTTTATTTATAGAAATTAGAGTTTTGCAAATATGGGCTGCATTATTCTAAAACTTTTTTTCATACTAAGTTAACCACCTTTGGGCTTCTAATTGAAGTTGTAAAGTGGTTAAATTGTCAAAATCGGCCTTGTGGATCACAAGATATTTTCAAAAAATATTTCACTAACTATATAAAATTCTCTCTTTTGACAATAGTATTGCCAAGAGAATTTTACATAGTTGGTAAAACGTTTTTCGAAGATATCTCGTGATCTACAAAGCCGATTTTGACGATTCAACCACTATTAAATTTTTCTCAATGAACTTTACAACTTCAATTAGAAGCCCAAAGATGGTTAATTTAGTACAAAAAAAAGTTTTAGAATGATGCAGCCTACATTTACAAAACTCTAATTTCTATAAGTAAACTGCATTACGTTATACTATGACCTCTCACTAGCTGACTGGCAAATCATCAATTAATAATTTAAAATCTATATATACAGAGTCAGTAGTTAGATAATAAAAAAAATTTAATCTTAACCAAGCTACTATTTATATTTTTAACAATTATCAACAATCAACAATCTATATATATATATTTTTTTTCTACTTTGGCTAACTTGCTAGTGATTTCTTTATTAATGATTTTAATTACTAGATAAAGTGATAAATAAGAGACATGACAAAAATCAGATGATTTTTTAGGGGGAAGGGGAGTAAAAAATTTAAAATTATATATAAAGATTTGATCAAAATATATAATAAGAGAGAGGAGGAGTTAAGCCTTTAATAAAAAAAAATCAGATAATAAATAACACTGCCCTAACTGCTAATATTTGGACCTAATATCCTGTAGTTACTTCAACATATTAACCACATGAAAGCACTTACAAGCGACCACTGTACTAAGCAGATACATCACTATAAATGTATCGCGATAAGTCTCAAAATATTAAAACGCTATCTATTTTAGCAGGTACTGTCAGACTACCTCCCTACAATAGAATATTGCTAATCTAATAATATCTTCTCATAAAGAAGTGAAAAAAAAAATACTTATACTAACACTAATACTAAAGAGAAGAAAAAAGAACAAGAACTAATATTAAAAACAAAAACAAAGATAAAAAGTAGGAAAAAAAAAGAAAAAGAAATCTGATAGATCACAATTATAAGCCTGTATCGGGCTTTAAAAAATTATATATTACAAAATAAAGAAGCTCTGTATCTAACTCT